TTTTTCAATTCTTTTGGGCAAATACCGAAGAACAGAATTACCAAGTCATTCGGTAATTCTATGTTTAACCTACTGAGGAACCACCAAACTGTTTTTCCACAGCAGCTGCACCATTATGGACCTCTAGCAATGTATGAGGTTTCTGATTTCTCCACATCCTTCCCAACACTTATTTTCTGGGATTTTTGAATTTTCTTTTTCAGGCTGTCCTATGGGATGTGAAGTGGTATCTCACAGTGGTTTTGATTTGCGTTTCTCTAATGACTGATGATGCTGAGCATCTTTTCATGTGCTTGTTGGCCATTCGTATCTCTTCTTTGGAGAAATGTCTATTCAAGTCCTTTGCCCATTTTCAAAGTGGGTATTGTCTTTCTGTTGCGGAGTTGTAAGAGTTCTTTAGACATTGTGGCTATTAGACCCTTATCAGATACAACTTTCAAATGTTCTCTCCCACTCTGTGGGTTGTCCTCCCCATCCCTTGACAGGGTCCTTGATGCACAAACATTTTACATTTTTATTAAGTCCAATTCTTCTATTTTTGTCTTTTGTTCCTTGCTTATGCTTTTTGTTGTCATCTCTAGAATCCATGGTCAAATCAAGATCATGATTTGTTTTCTCCTAAAAGTTTTATGGTTTTGTTCTCCCATTTAGGTCTTTAACCCATTTTGAATTAACTTTTGTATATGATCTAAAGGGTCCAACTTTATTTTTTTGCATGTGGATATTCTGTTGTCCCAGAACCATTCATTCAAAAGATTTTTCTTTCCCCAAGGAATGATCTTGGCATTATTATTTTTTTAAGATTATTTGAGAGAGAGTGCACACGAGCATGGGGAGGGGCAGAGGGAGAGGGACAAGCAGACTCCCCACTGAGGAGGGAGCCTGATATGGGGCTTGATCCCATGACTGAGATCATGACATGAGCTGAAGTCAGACGCTTAAACGACTGAGCCACCCAGGTGCCTCTTGGCATTCTTGTCAATAACCAATTGCCCATGAATGTGTGGGTTTATTTCTGGACTCTCTATTCCACTGATACATATATGTCTAGTCTTAGGCCAGGAGGCAGTCTTGATTACTGTAGCTTTATAGTAAGTTTTGAAATCAGAAGTATGCATCTTCCAACCTTGTTCTTCTTCAAGATTGTTTTGGCTATTTAGGGTTCCTTGCACTTCCACGTGAATTTTAAGATCAGTTTTTCCATTTCTGCAAAAAAATACGGGCTATTGGGATTTTGACAAGGATTACACTGAATCTACAGATTACTTGGGGGAGTACTGCCATCTTAATATTAAGTGGAAGATGACTTAATCTTAACAGCAGGGGTTGATAATGCCATTATCAACTTTATTGGAGAAAATGCTGTTTTGCAGTTGAGGGCAGTACATCTGCATGGAATCTCCCCTTAAACTCATCTAACAAAATTAATACAACTACATCACACAAAAGGTAGCAGTGGTAGACTGGGAGAAATGCAGCATAACCCAGAATGACTTCTGTATACTCTGAAATGTAAAAAGAGTTCTTCCATCTGATTTCAACAATTTTAGCAGTGTAGGAAACAGGATTATACAAGAGTAAATCAAAGTTTATGTGACCAAAGAACTGAGGAGACAGACAAGTCTCCTTTGTTCAATCTGCTCTCTCCCCAACTCCTGCCAAGATAAATGAGAGGGAGCTGGGTAGGTTTTGGTTTTGTGATTTATAACCAAACCACAGACCTGGGACAAGGGCCTTTCACTTCTTCCACAGAACTGTTTAAAACATTAATTCAGTGGAAGATGCTCAAAGTTTCCAAAAAGGAAACATTCCAGGAGAGTAAGGAAGTGATAATCAGCATATTCAACTTTTGCCTATTTCCCCTGGACCCAAAAATGATCTACTCCTAAAGGCTTTGAAAGCAGAGCCTCTACTTGGAATAACACTCCTTACACTGTGTCTAAAATTCTCCATACACTTCTGCAACCATTTTCTCTTTCTGATAAACTCTGTAAGGTTTATTAAACATAACCTTTTAATATATTAAATGTTCCTTCATGTCCCTGGTTTTAGTGTTTTAGCAGTGCAGTTCTGCCACAAAGGCTGGCAGTTAACATGTGGTATTCCCAATGAAGTAACATGGATGTAATAACATTGTCTCTGGACACATCTTTCAGCTTCGTCACAGGCTACTTCTGCCCAATTCCAGTGGAACAGTGTGAACCTCAGAGCTTCTGCGGGAGATAAGTCACAATAGGGTCCAGGTCAAGGCAGCTCCCATGGTTCACCCCGGGCTAAAGAGAAAGTTGCCCGAGAACTTTGTTCCTTGAAGAGAGAAACTATGTCTAACTCTAAATCCCAATAACCTCTCATCCAGCTTTTGGTATCTCTTTTACACTTAGCCTACAAGATTGGATCAGTAGGTATCAATTAAATATAGTGATCAGCAGTATCTAATCTAAAGATCATTAGAATCACCTGTGAAACTTTCAAAAGCTACAGGTTGGAAGGGTTGCCCAAGATTTATTCAGCAGATCAAAGAGTGGTATCCAAGCATTTCCAGCTTAACATATTCCACAGGTAATTCAGTTGAGAATCTAAATCATCTTTTTTTTTTTAATTTTTTTTATTTATTTATTTGTGAGAGAGAGAATGAGAGACAGAGAGCATGAGAGGGAGGAGGGTCAGAGGGAGAAGCAGACTCCCTGCTGAGCAGGGAGCCCAATGTGGGACTCGATCCCGGGACTCCAGGATCATGACCTCAGCCGAAGGCAGTTGCTTAACCAACTGAGCCACCCAGGCGCCCCGAGAATCTAAATCTTCTAAAGAACACTTCTTCTCTAAAATACACTTTGACTAACTAATTTTCCTTAAGAGAATAATATGGCCAGATTTTTTTCTTTTCAGGGAGGGTTTTCTTCCCTGGGGCCTCTAAGAGATCTGAGTCCTAAACTGGGCTCAGGCCCCGCATTTCCAATACAACTAGACAAAAATCAGCACCACCCTTACAGCTGGCCTGCATATCAACCCAGTCATGAGTATTAATCACATTTTTAAAATTTTCTGTGTCTTACGATGTTCTGACATCTTAAAAACCTTGCTGGTGAAGGGGCGCCTGGGTGGCTCAGTCATTAGGCGTCTGCCTTCGGCTCAGGTCATGATCCCAGGGTCCTGGGATCGAGTCCCACGTCGGGCTCCCTGCTCCGCGGGAAGCCTGCTTCTCCCTCTCCCACTCCCCTTGCTTGTGTTCTCTCTCTCGCTGTATCTCTCTCTGTCAAATAAAATCTTAAAAAAAAAAAAAAAAAAAAAAAAAACCAACCTTGCTGGCGGGGAGAGACTGCCCTTCACAGGGCCAGCTAATTCCTAAAGATGGTAATCAACTTACTTGGGAGCAGCCTCTCACATCCAAACCAATCAACTCCTTTAATGCTCACAGACCAAACCAATATTTTCTCTGCCCTAAATCATCCCAGGGCCAGGGACCAGGCAACTAGAGACCACCGCTATAGCCCAAAGCCCACCAGAATTATTGAAACTAGCCTAGACTGTTTCCTCTGGCCTGCCTTACCTTTCTCAAAAATGGAAGGCTCTGACCTAGGCTTTCCCCGTCTCCTGCTCTGCCTCTTGATCAAAACCTTCCCTGTGGCCCCATGTGGCATGGCATACCCTCTTCTATCTGGAAATATAACAAATTCTTCCAATGGCATTGGCCTATGTTGTCACCCAGTCACCTCTATAAATTAAAACCCTGCGGGTATAAATGAGACACTCCACTCCAACCATGCCTCTGTGCTGCCACTACTCTTGTGCGGTTCACTGAACTAATCCAATTGGAAACCATATTACAAAGTAATCTAGGTTTCCAAAACCATAAAGAAAAAGCTCTTGGGAATCCTATTAGCATTTGAAACTCAACACTCGCAACTAAAGGTAGTATGGCCCAGCAATTATATTCTTAGATATACACACAAGAGAACTAAAAACACAACTCCTACAACATTGTTCACAGCAGCATTATTCATAATAGCCAAAAAGTCCACCAACGGATAAACAGAATGTGGAGTATCCATACAAGGGAATATTATTCAGCCACTAAAAGAAGAACCAATTCATGCTACATGAATGGACCTTAAAGACATTCTGTTAAGTAAAAGCCAAACGAAAAAAGGCCACAATGGCATTTATAAAAAGTGAACAGAATAGACAAATCCACAGGAACAGTCGTTTGCTGGGGCCAGGGTGCTAGGGAAGAGGGGAAGGCGGAAGGGGGAGTATCTGCTCCTGGATAGAGGGATTTCTATTTGGATATACAAAATGTTCGGGAATGACATGGTGACGACTGCACAACCTTGCGAATGTACGAAAATCCAATGAATTGTACACTTTAAAGAGGTGAATCTTATGGTGTTACGTCTTGAAAACAAACCCAGCTGAAAGTATTCTCGTCCTTCCAAAGCTGCTCCTTCTCCTGTGTTCCTTATTTCAGTAAATGGAACCACACTCCAACTCCAGACGCTCAAGCCAGAAAGCTACAAATCTTAACGCGAACGCCTAAGTACTTCTCCATCCTTTCCGCTCCAACCTCCACTCCAGGCCATGCTCGCTTCTCCTGTGGATCACAGCCTTCTCCCAATGGCTCCCCCGGCCTCCAGTCTTGCCTCTCCAGATCCTTCCTCAGGTGCGCCGGGGCTCCAAGCACTACCGGCAGCTAGAAGGTCCTCAAACTGGAGCCCGCGGCGAACCCCTCCAGCGGCACTTGACCGCGCGCACTAGCCAGCACCGAGGGCGGGCGGCTGCTCCCTCACGCGGCCACCGCCACTCGACCTCCCGGCCTCCGTACGCTCGCTACCACCTCGGCCAGGGGGTTCTCCCGCCCCGACCGGCCGCGCTCCGCGCCTCTCCAAGACCCTCCCTCGGGCAGGTGCGCTCCGAGGGGCCGTCCCTGCCTCCGCAAACATTTCCTGTGGGAACCATGGTGGACCCAAACTTCGACTAAATACTCGGCGGTGCTCTTAACTTACCCTGCCTGTTCCTCAACACTTAGCAGACTTCGCAGGACGCCGCGCACACTTGGGCCACTCGGGCCTCGAGCGCCGCCCTCAGCCCAGCCGCTCCCGCCTCTAGCCGTCCGGAAACGCTCCCAGCCGCGCGCCTGGGCCGCGGAGGACGACGGGAAGCGGGCCTCCCGGGCCGCTCCGCGCCTGCGCGGGCGCTATCCTCCGCGGGGGGCGCTGGTTGGCGCATGCGTAGGCGCGAGGTTCTCCGTTGAGAAGGTGCCTCGGCGGCGCCGGAGGTAGGAGGAGTCGGGCTTTGGGGCTGGGAGTCCGCAGTCTGGAGAAGGTCCAGTCACCTGGGGCCTTTCTCGCTGCCGGGGGTGAGGGAGAAGAGCCTTTCTCGCTCGCGGTGTAGCGGCAGGAGCCGCGCTCGGGTGGAGGGGCCTGAGGACACCTGGAGGGAGGAAGGGTGAGGAGGGTATCGGGTACCCACCGGGTCACGGCCCGGGGGTCAGGCTGGCGATCGGAAATCGCCGTCCGGCTTCGTAGCCGCCAGAGTCGTTGGCAGCCCTCCCCCAGACCTAGCCCCTCGCCCGCTTGCGGTGTGTGTCACCGGGTCAGGGGGAGCGGGAGGGTCCGCTCCGCACTGCCCACTCATTCATTCCGCGCCAGCTGCGAGCCGGGCGGCCCGGCGGGTACCGAGCCGGCGTAGACGCAAGTCCCCAGCCCTCCAGAAACTTGCTGCGTCCTTCGGCAAATACTGAGCGAGCACGTATAGGAGGTGGGCTGTTGTCGGACTAACGTCACAGGCCCGTGGAGACTCCGCGGGGTGTGGAGGGTGGAATCCGCTCTAGCTCTCCACGTCCCACGGGCTCGATTCAGGCGCCCGGACACCGGTCCCTGCACTGATCCCTGCAGCCTCCTCTCCCACTGTACCAAAAAGTCTTTGTGGTTGAGTGACTGAACAAATGCCGAGGTTTGGTTTTGTTTTGTTTTGTTTTTTACAAATCAGGTGTCTGATCAGCCAAAGAGAATATGGAGTAAAATAGATGAGCCTGTGCCCTCCTTCAGTTTTGACCTTAGTAGGGGACAGAAAATAAGTGAATAAAAATGGAGGTGTAGATGCCCTAGAACCACCCGCTTGAATTTGTTCTCAGCCCTGCCACTTCAAAAATTGTGTAAAGTTAAGCCAGTTCTTCATTCTTGGACCTGACTCCTTGCTGTAAAGGGAATTGTCATAAGGGCTACATGAGTTAGACTTATAGAGCAATTAGACCCATGCCTGGCATACTGTAAGCATTCGAGAAATGTTATTACAAATGATTATAATTTGTTATAAGTGTGATTGTGAAAACAATGTGTGATGACGGAAAATAATGGGAGTGGAGGGGGTCCACTTGGATAAAGGATGAGGGGAAGCTTCTCTAAGGAGGTGACATGGAAGAGGAGGATGGGCCGGCCATGCGAAGTAGATTACAGGTATGCCTGTCTGCCCGGCTCCGCAAAAATAGGTGATTAATTGGACTACTCCGATGGAGGAGATTGCACTTTCTGTCACTGGGTCATTCAGTTTTGAATTCTGAATCCCACTAAACTGTGCCAGTGTAAATAATTATGCCCACAAGGCCCAGGCTTTGCAGTGGTCACCATTCCAGTCACTTGAGTTTGGAGAGCTCTTGCTGAAGTGAGAGAGGGTGGAGAAAAGTGGCCCTTTTTTGATTTGGAAACATTGCTCATACCAGTGAAGGATGAGCCTCTCCTGTCTTGTTTCTTCCCAAGCATTCAAGTGCGTATTCTCTCCATTGGCTGCCCTGCACATTAAGTTGCCTGTTGATAGGGCCTAAGAAAGAGTTTTTCTGCATTTAGCCATCATCTTGTTTCTGTGGTAACTGCCCTTCATGGGATTCATTCCCCAGATTTCAGTAAAAACAATACTCTTCCAAGATGCTCATGTTCTTTCTCTGATGGGTTTTTAGATCCCTCCCCCTGTGTTGTATTGTGATATCCTGTAAGACCACGAGTTTGTGTTAACCAGGCGGTACCTGAGTATTTGACACAGATATTGTTACTCTGAGGACTTTGCGCATACCCCACATCCTCTTGTACCTTCCTGGAAGAAATGGCATAAAATGCGGTGTCTGCCTAATTACATTTAGATGCTTTTTGTTTTCCACAGATGTGACATTAAATGAACCAATGTGTTTTATCACTATGGAGATCTTGGAGAATCACCTGAGTGTGAAGTTCATATGTATCCTATCTCAGAGGCATCTGTTGGACAACAAAAGCTCTCAGATGTGAACTTTAAACGTGCTGTTTAACAGGGACTCAATTTGAAGATAGGCATTTTAAATCCTTATGGAGGGGAAGGCACTACTTTTTGCTCAATTGTGCAAACTCTCCAGGTGTCCTAGTGAGAAGCAGAGAGGAGCCTTAATGGAGCTGCAAGTGTGAATGAGGTCTGCTAGGCTCGTTCTCGGGCCACCCAGATAGACCTCACACCTCTGAAGACCACCTGCAAGCCTTAAAGCTGGCCAGATGATGGATGAGTCAGATGATGATTTTAAGGAACTCTGCGCCAGCTTTCTCCAAAGGGTGAAAAAGAATGTCACCAAGGAAGTGTCGGGGGAAAGGAAGACACAAAAGGCCTCCAACAGCACTCAGATAAGCAAACCGAAAAGGACCAAACCAACTGCTACCAAAGGCAAAACCCTTCAAGGCCCCAGGGAGAAGAAAACTCAGTCTGGCAGCCAGGCCCCGAGGACTAAAAAGCAAAGGGCACCCAAGTGGCAGAGGAGTGAACCCACTCGCCCTGAGAACGGAGAGGGAAGTGTGCTTGCCTCTGCTGTGCTCCAGGAGGGTGTGCAGAGCACCCAGACAGGTAACTGGGCCAGAACCACTGCCAGGATGTTTCCAGAGAGGAAACCAGAGGTGACTGTACTGATCTAAACCAGGGGTCAGAAAACTTTCTGAAAAAGGCCAGACAGCAAATTATTTTGGCTCTGCAGCCTTGGTCTCTGCAACTTATCAATTCCCTAGACAATCTGTAAGCAAATGAAGGGGCTGTGTTTCAACAAAACTTCATTAAGAAAAACAGGCAGCTCCCTGAGGACCATAGTTGGTCAACTCCTGTTTTAAACAGTGATCATAAAAAATATAACCCCTATGTGAATTTTCTACATGATTATGTTTGGGGCCCTGTGCCCTTTTAGAATTTCTTATTAATGTTTACATTATGTATTTGACACAAGTAACGTGAACATGAAAATAATGCTGCTTCTCTCAGTTTCTTGAATTCCTTCCAGAGTGGGTAAGTTGCAGTGGTGCCAGCCGGTTCGGTAAGGCTGCTCAGAAGGCAGTAGGAAGCTGCCAGATAGGCTTAGATCCCAGGAGAATCTTTAGGTCCTTCCTTTTTCCTCCTAACACCTTTGTTCTTTTCTTTTCCTTTGTTTGTTTGCTTGAAGCAGGTTCCTTACCCTGCTGCCTTTGGTGTACTGAACCATATGTTTAACATGCATTCTTCAAGCAGAACTGAGAACCAGCCTTGCATAGGATCTTTAGGCTCCTGTGTTCTGTTTCTAAATATTTCTCACCTTCACTTCCTGATCTTAAATGGTATTTTTTACTAGTGTGGTCAGCATGATCTCTCAGTGGAATAGTGGTAAAGAATTAGCTCGCAGAGACTGTTGTAAGGCTTCGGTAGTGTTACTAAAACATCATTGGTCCTTCAGGTCCCTTTGGGAGCAGTGAAAGCTATGCATGATTCCCCCGAAAACCGCACCCCCCCACACACCTGTGAAATTGGCATAAACCTGCAGGAGCTTCACGAATCCCCACCAGAGGCCACCTGTGGACACCAAGTTAGAGGAGAACTTATGACCTAGGAAGATAAAAATGTTTGTCATTAATATTTCTTTAATAACAGCTTAATAGAAAGAATTTACATTCTGTAAAACTTACCCTTTTAAAGTGGGCAGTTCAGTGGCTTTAGTGTATTCACAGAATTGTATAATCATTACCACTGGCTAATTTTAGAACATTTTTATTACTCCAAAAATAAACCCTGTGCTCAGTCGCTCTCTGTGCCCCCTCCTGTCACAGATATTTATGACAGGTCTATTTATATTACTTCCTATCTATTCCATTACTTCCAAGCTACCAGTAGTCAGTCCTCTCACACTTGAGAGTTAAACCTCAACTAGTTGGTAAGGGACCCCTTGAAACTTGGGTCTAACCTGTATCTGATGGAAGAGTCTTTGTTTCTCCAGCTAGAACAGATGGCTGTGAATGTTTTCCTCTTTGCCAGAGGCTGCTCCGGACAGCAACTCCCAGCCCCCTCCTCCCTGTCTGACAGTGACGGCACCAAGTCCCTCCAAACCCCGGACGGCAGAGTTAGTCCTACAACGAATGCAGCAGTTCAAGAGAGCAGACCCCAAGCGTTTGCAGCATGCTTCGGAAGGGAGCTCTCTGGAGGCTACACTTGAAGAAAAGGCCCCAGAGGGCCCTCCAGAGGAGATGACAGCAGGGAATGGTATGATGGGAGTTTTGTATATTCCCATCAGGGTTAAGTATGAACTCTGGAGAAAGGGGGAGAGGAAGGAACCCACATTCCTTGAGTTGCTGGTGTGGGTGGGTGCTCTGCCTAGCACTGTACCTTGGCCACTTCATAGTATCTAGCCAGAGAATGAAGGGTCCCTGGGGTCATTTAGCTTGGGTCACTTAGCTTCTTTGACAAGGTACCTCTTCCTCTTTTTATTTTGACTGTTTATTATGAAATTTTTCCCATACAGAAAGGTAAAAAAAAAAAAAATACTACAATAAATTCCCATAACTTCAACCTGTACTTAACAATTGTTAACATTTTGCCATATATTTTTTATATCTCTAAATATATATGATTCTTCTATACTATTCGAAAGTAAGATCTAGACATCATGATACTTCCCCCCACAGATCTCCTACATGATCACGGTGCTCTTGTCACACGTAATTCCATAATATTGCCCAGTGTCCAGTTCATATAAAAATTTCCCCACTTGTCCCAAGGACAGCTTTATAGCTGGTTTCTTTTTTCCTGAGCAAGGATCCGCCAGAACTGTAAGTCCCACACACTGCATATGCTGTAGTCCATAGTCTCTTAAAGTCTAGACTCTGGAACAGTCCCCTTGTCTTGTCCTGTTTGTGTTTGTTTTTTTTTTCATGATTCCAACTTTCAGAAGAGTCCAGGGCAATTGTCTTTCTGAATTTCCCACTTTGTAGATTTGTTTGATTGTTTCCTCGTGGTGTTGCGTAACCACTTCTGTAGCCCCTGGAGTGCATCACAGGCGAGTAAACCAGAAGGCCGGGTGGCCCCAGGTGAAGATAGCTTGGCGCCAACAGTGCAAGTGCTATGCAGGGCACATTGTACCACCCCAGAGGCACGTCATATCCCTGGTTCTCTTCTTTACCCCCTAAACGATATAAGCCCTCATCTCTGGTGAAAATACACAAAAGGGGAAGAAATAGGCAGCAACTGTATTGACGGCCCTACGGCTAACAAGTCTGTAGTCCCCTGGCAGTGCGTTTGCAGACTGCAGTCTGGGATTCTCACGCTGCCTCTAAGGTCCACACAGGCAGTGGTGGGACATCTGTCATGGCATCAGTCCCTGCAGCACCAAAGGGGTGCGTCAGAGTTGCTCAGCCAGGACACGAGCTCAGCACCTGCCCTACATGTGCCTCAACTGTTTCCGTAGAGCTTCACGGGATACCCAGTAATGCTCAGTGCTCAGGACAGAGAAACCATTTCTTTGTTTTGTTTTTTTTTTTAAATGGGGCACCAAAATGAAGTGTGTTGCTTTTCTGGCTTCAGTGGAAAGAGTGCTAGGCCACAGGAATATTCAAGAACTGGGGATTTATGAAGTTCTCCGAATCCCCCTGTGAGTGCTGAGGGTCTGCTCCAGCAATATCAGATGTGACAGAGGGCCGCAGCGGTGGGCCCGGCCACTTGGGGAACCACCTCCACACTAGAGTCAGTCAGTCCACCCTTCTGTCTGCTGCTGGGAAGGAGAATGCGTTTTAAGAAAGGGGTTTCACTTTGACCTGGTTCTTCTAGGATAGGCGACAAAAGGTCATAGCAGTAGGAAAGGCTGAGCTTTGAAGAGAAAACCTAGACTTATTGGAATAGGAGTCTTGTAAGCCTGGAACGCCTGAGGTAGACGACTTTAGCAGAAATTAGTAAAATGAAAGGCTCGTTCTCTAGGACCTTGCTACTCAAACAGGGGTCCTGAACCGGCAGTGTCTCCTGCCCTGGGAGTTGTCCCAAATGGGGAATCTCAGGAAGCTCCATCTAGACCACTGGGATGCGAACCTGCATTTTAACAAGCTTCCTGGGGGTTCTTATGCATATTACAGTTGGAGAAGTATGCCCCGGGAGCCCTGTTTGTGTCCACCCTCACTGGACGGTACTGGCGGGGGGGCAGAGCAGTGCTGGGTCTGCTCTGTCCGTGCTCCCTCTGCTGTCTGTGCACAGCTCTGACGGGCGGTGCAGAGGTCTGAGGGTGCGCTCATCCTCATGGAGACCGTGCCTCCTCACAGGGTCTGGGCCCGGGCTTCCTGCCACAGAGAGCGACGCTGCGGTGGCCTTGGCTCTGCAGCATGAGTTTGGGCAGCAGCGAGCACCCACACATGAGGCTAACCTGGAGGAGACGGGGTTGTTCTTCTGCCAGATCTGTCAAAAGAACCTCTCAGCCATGAACGTGACACGAAGGGAGCAGCACGTGAACCGGTAGGAGCAGCTTGACTCTCGCCTCTCTGGGGTCACCTCTCCCGTGGGTATGACAGACCCAGGGGAATCTGCGGTGGGAATCCTGACTGTGACCATAGCACCCCAGTGTTGGTGTCAGCCTGTCCTTACTGGTTTTTTAAACAGCTTTGTTGAGAGATAATTCCCATATTACACAATTCATCTTCTTAAAGTTAACAATGGCTTTTAATTACTATAGTCACAGAACTGTGCAACCATTACCACGGTCGATTTTAGAATATTTTCGTTACCCCCAATAAAACCCTGTCCCCATTAGTGCTCACTCCCCATTCCCCCTCTGCCAGCCCCTGCAGCCTCTGCGGATTTGTCTGCTCAGGATGTAAGTGGAATCACACAGACGTAGCCTTTGGTGTCTGGCTTCCTCTCCTCAGTGTAGTGTTTTCAAGGTTCATCCAGGTTGGAGCACGGATCAGAATTTCGTTCCTTTTTATGGCTGAAAAATACCATCTTGTGGGTAGGCCATGTCTTGTTCATCCGTTGATGGCTATGGACTGCTTCTGCCTTTTGGATGTTGTGAATACAGCTGCCATGACCATGTGTTTCTCGTACTGGTTCGAGTACCTGCTCTCACTTCCTTGCGGTACAGACTCAGGAGTGGGCTTGCCACTGTCTGACATGTCCTTGCTCTCTTTAGCCACCTTCGCTAGCAGAACCAAAATTTAGGGTTTGGAGGCTGACTGCAGGCTGTGTGGAGTTGGCTTTGGGAGAACAGGCTGGAGCCCACACCTGTCCTTGCTGACATGGACGCATGGTACCAATGGAGAGGGTTCCCATGTGTTTCCTCTCTTCCTCCAGGTGCTTGGATGAGGCTGAAAAGGCACTGACACCCTCCACACCACGGATCCCCGAGTGCCCAATTTGTGGCAAGCCCTTTCTCAGCCCAAAGAGCAGAATCAGCCACCTGAAACAGTGTGCAGTGAAGATGGATGTTGGCCCCCAGCTCCTGCTCCAGGCTGTGCGGCTGCAGACAGCTCAGCCTGGCGGGGCCTGTGGCACGCTGGCATCGAGGTGAGTCAGATGGAAAGGAGGAAAACCACAGAAATACTCTGATTTTTTCTTTTTAAAGCTTTTTGTAGCTTTAGAGAACAGTAGAGCCCTAGAACCCTCCTTGATTCTGGAAATGATACATTTGAGGAGGAAATCAGGCAGTCTCCACCGGGACTGAGGAGGAGAAAGATTCTGTACCTTCGAAATGGTCCATGTGGGCGTGTCTGCAGAAAGGACTGGTTGGACTGGTTTCCTAAGGTCCTTCCTGAGATTTTTCCATTCTCGAGATCCTACCGGTGTCCCCTGGAGCAGCGAGCAATCTGCTAACGCACTTCACCGTGTCCATTCATCCATTCCAGTGTCGCGTGCCATGGCTTCCATCTCTGTGCAGCCCGAGTCTCCTACTGTCCTCGGAAGAGGACTCTGCACAGTTCACAGAGTTGGCAAGACAGAACCACAGGCCTTTTTTTTTTTTTAACATGCATGAATTAAATGCTTAGGTGTTGCAATAGGAGGCCTCGCTCCTAGCTGGGAACAAGTCCTTGGCGTGCAAATCATAGGCCTAGCAGCTCCGCTCCCCTCCGTACTGCCCCTGGCTCTGTGGATGCCACGTTACAGGGAACAAACTAGTGCAGGTCCTGGACTTCTGTAGGTTTGGGCCTTCTTTCCTTTGACAGCTGTCAAGAGCAAAGGGAAGGCCAAGCGTGGTGGCTCTGTTTGTCCTGGCCACTGCCTTTTACACAGGTTATGGGCATCTGAGCTGGGCCCGTGGTGAGACTGGGTGGGCAGAGCTGGATTCTTGGCTGGTGAGCCCTTCTATATCATAGCACATCAACACTAGCATCTCAGAATTGGAAGCCTTAAGGCCCTAGCATAGACATTATCTAAGCCATTGCTTGCCTTTTGCCAGGACTGGATGGGAACCACCTACTCAGATGAAATATATCTGTTTTTTCAATACCTGAGAAGAGAAACGAGATGTGTGTGGGTCCTAGAAGGTTGATAAAGTAGAAAACTAGCAAATGGACACCCTCACCTAGGCTTTGAGCCTCCTCTCTGCCCAGAGGCCAAGCCTGGGGTGTGTGGAACTCTGGGGTAGTCAGATGCTGAGACAGCTCCTTGCCTTCTGGGAGGCTGTAGTTATCGTGTGGGGTTCCTGGGAAGTTGAACTCAATTAGGCCTTGCTTAGATCTTCCGAATTGATACCTGAGGTTCTTGAGCCATCCCGGGCCCAGGGAACAGCATGAGCTTTGGCAAAGGGCGCTTTCCAGAGCACCCCCACAGCTGGTTTTGAGCTCCCAGTTTTTCTCTCGCCTTTGCCCTCCTATTTCTTGCTCAGCCTGTTGGGGTTCACCAGGCAATCTAGGTTCTCCAGCTGGAAAATCCTTTAAGCAAATCTCCTCCAAGCCAAATGCTGCTGTACACTGACTTCCAGGCTGGCTGACCATGTTGGTGGTCGAACCTGGGAGGCCTTTCCTTCGGGCCTTGGGCAGAGGAAATGCCCACAGGCCCTTGCGGGAGGGGAAAGGATCCTGTCATGGCCAACGTGGCCAGGACTGCCTGAGGGGCATCTGAAGTGTCAATGGGCAGAAGTTGGTGGAATCCAGGAAGCTGACTCAGAGCCACTGGGTGCTGACTCCTCTGGAAGGGTTTGGCCACAGCTAGAGTGTGCAGGGACCACTCGTAGCTAACCACTCACACCTGGCAACAGCTAGCTCAGCAGGGTAGCATCACGTAGAAGGACCCAGACCGTCACCTCTCTGGACTGCACTGCACTTGGCCCAGGATGGTGTGAGCTTACATGAGACAATAGGATAAGCACAGTGAATGCCCAAATCAGTCAAAGCCTCTGTCTAACGGGTCCACATTTATCCCTTTTCTCTCCTACCTTAGAGGAGAAGGGGTCCAGGCCTCTCTGGTCCAGCGGGGATGCCCTCAGAACAGGAAGTGCTCATACCTCTGGCCTCGCTAACTTTTCTGTTTGGCTGCCTTTTAAGCTTCAGCAGTCATGTTGGAGGTCTGAAGCGGAAGGGAGCCACCAACAGGAAGGAGCTGCAGAAGAAGCGGAAGGTCAATGAGCCCGAGGCGCCGTCTGAGGACCTGCTGGTGGCCATGGCTCTGTCCCAGTCCGAGATGGAGCGGGAGGCTGTGCCCACGGTGCTCAGGCTAGAAAGTGCTTTCCCTGAGAGGATAAGACTGGGGGCAGGTAGGTGTGGCTCCTGGCTGGCAGTGCCTTGCCACACCGCTGCTGGCCAAAGGTGACCACTGCTGGGCCTCAGGGTGTGTCGCAGCTCTGTCACTGACCCTGTGTTTCTGTTTACCTTCAGAAAAGAAGGGTCGTAAGAGGAAAGCACCTTTATGCCCTCCCCCGTTGTTAGTCCAGGACCCGGAGACCACTCGGAGGCAGACAGAGGACCGAGTGGCCCAGCTCTTCGCGGAGGAGATGGAGCTGTCCAGCACGCCGCCACTTCCTGAGAGCAGGATGGTAAAGGAAGAGCTGGAAAAGGCCAGCCAGCATCTGAAGCAGAACTTTCTGTGGGAGGGCAGCGCCCTGACTGGGGCCTGGGCTCTGGAAGCCTTCTACACCACAAGCCTGGTCCCTCCCATGGTGCCCCAGCGGCCCGCCAAGGTGGGTCCTCCCCTGTAGGCATGCGGGGGGCTCTGGGCAGAGGCAGCGGTCAGGACGGCGGGCCTGGGCATCAACAGAAAGTCCGAAAAGGAAGGAAGGGCAGGAAGTCCGGCATGCCTGCTGTAGCGTGTTTCTCTGTGCAGCAACTGATGGCTCTCCTGGGAAGAACAGGGAGGTCCGCTGGTTCCCAAATGTATCCTGTACCTGGAGGGTTTGTTTGAAATGCAGTCCGGGGCGCCACCCCCAGGGGGCTGGTATAATCTGCGTGTGGTGGGGCCCAGGAACCAGACAGGCTGCTGCAGGTGGGCCTGGAGTCACTGCATGCTTGAGGCCACTGAGATACCATTAGGGGGACGGGCCCCTCAGGGACCTCTCTGCTGATGTAGACACAACAGGCATGGCCTTCACCGTGACAGAGAAGCCTGCTGATGGTGATGGGAGAAAGCCTCCCAGGGTTGTTCTGGGCTGTGGCTGACACTCTCGGGGGCCCTCTGTGTGGTGGCTGCTGCAGTGGCCACACAGTCACGTGGCTTCCTGACTTCTTTCAGGGTCTTACCCAGGAGCCCACGCTGCCGCCAGTGCCGCCTGACGAGCCAGAGCTGGGTGTGCGAACACCACCTGCTCTCCCCAGTGCCCTGCCTGCGGGCCATGGCCCCGGGAACCCCTCACCCTCCGCCAGCCAGAGAGAGCACCAGGCCCTGCAGGACCTTGTGGACCTGGCGGGAGAGGGGCTGAGTGCCACCCCGTGGCCCTGCAGTGGGGGCCTGGCCAGCTCAGGAGGGGCCGCAGGTGAGACCCTGGATGGGACACCTGGGCCAGCCCCGCCCTCCCGGCCCTCCTTCCCTCTGGCGGTGGCCATGACCAGCTAGTCCCTGGGGCTTGGGGACAGCCGCTCAGATCCGAGGTGCTCTGGCTTATCCCCATGTGATGGGGAGAACACAGTCTCTGTAAGTGCTTTCCTTTTTTTCCTCAAAGATGGATGTCATACAGGTGAGTCCGTCACAATCTCCTCCAACTTTAACCAAGGACAAAACCCTTGCCCAGAGCCAGTGATTGTGCAGACTCTCTGTTTTTACTACCTGTGTCCCTCTGGGGAGCAGGGAAAAACTCAGTGGGTGGTTCACTCACAGTGAAGAAGCCCTCGGGTAAAGAGCATCCCCTGGGCACCGTGGGGTCGGCTGACAGACACCTGATGCTCTTTCTCGGAGACTGACATTGCCGGGACATGATGTTCTTTTAACCTGTGGATCCTTCTCTCAGGGATGGATGTGTCACCCACTGGCCTTCCACCGACTGGGTTTGTCCTGCCCCCTAAGGAAAAGCCCCCGGAGAGGGATAGCCAAGCTTCGGTAAGCACCGGGGCTCCTTGCTGTGGGCTGTGCAGCCTGGCCCTGCTCCGTGGTCCTGGCCACCGGAGCTCGTCCTCTGCTCCGCACGGTCAGCTCCCAGCCGGCCTCCAGAGCGTCGCACGAGTCCACTGGCCCCCTCGACAGCCTCTGAGCTAAGCCAGGCGAGAGCCTACGGGAGCCTCCTGTTCCCCTCTAGGGCTCTGCCATGAGGCTTTTGTCCCTTCTGTCCTTGAACTCTGGGGGCACCTCAGTAGCCCGGCCCCAGGAGCCCGCTTTGTCCTGAGAGCCCGCAGGGATCCCCATTGCTCTGTGAGGTGGCCTCATGCCCCAAAGTTTCATTCGTTCGTTCAGGACCAGCTGTGCGCCTCTGACGTGCAGGTCCCGGCTGGTCTGCAAGTAAGGGTTCACGTTCTGTGTCAGTGACGCTGGGTTGGAAGTTGGGTTTTCCTCAGAGTGGATGTCAGCCTGTTAGTATATTGGTATCAGCCAAACACTTCACCCCAAGGTCTGCCGGATGACCATGGCACGTAGTCAGAGAAGGATCGAGACTCTTCTCGGCCGGGTACCCGAACGGCGTGGGCTCGGGTTCCCTGCCTGTCACACCGGGGCCGCACACGGTGCTCGTGAAGCGCTCAGCCCAGCTGCAGCTTCAGTGCGGCTATCGTGCCTCCCCTTGCTCACCGACCCCCCACCCGCCCCGTGTTAGGCCAGGGGACTCAGTGTAATGGAGAATTTGAGAAAGAAGCTAGCACCCCTGGGGGTGCCTGGGTGGCTCAGTCGGTTAAGCGGCTGCCTTCGGCTCAGGTCATGATCCCAGGGTCCTGGGATCGAGCCCCGCATCGGGCACCCTGCTCAGCAGAGAGCCTGCTTCTCCCTTTCCCTCTGCCTGCCACTCTGCCTACTTGTGCTCTCTCTCTGTCAAATAAAGAAATTAAAAAAAAAAAATCTTAAAAAAAAAAAAATTTATAAAAAAAAAAAAAGAAGCTAGCACCCCTGAAGTTGGGGAACTTGCTGTGAGACCCGTGTGCTCCCCTCCTTCCAGCTCACCCTCGGCTTGCTGCTGGCCGACTTCAGAGCCATGGTTAATAACCCACACCTGAGTGACGTCCAGCTGCAGATGGACAGTGGGGACGTGCTTTACGCCCACAAGTTCGTGCTTTATGCCCGATGCCCCCTTCTCATGCAGTATGTGAGTACGGGCCCCCGCCCCTCCTCCCTCCCTCTCCGCGTGCTTTCTCACACTCCCCTCTGGCCTCCTGCCCCCTTCACTCCCCTCCGTGCCCCCCACACATGCACCCGCCACCCTCCCTCCCTGTCAGTGTACCTGCCTCCGTCTGGACATGTTTGAGGTTAGGAAGTGCTGTGAGGAGATGAGCTGAGGATTGGGGAACATCAGATTTCTTGATTGGTTGAATAAAAATCCATTTTCCCTAGAACTGTTCCCTTTTCCTCTATTTCTGTAATTATGAAGTCCTAATCGACCTGCTGACAGACATTTCTATGCTGACCTGTGCCAACATGCATTGGACTTCAATGTCGTGCTGCAGGAATCCGGGAAACTGCTGCTGGTCTCTCCCAGAAAGTTCTCGTGCCTCTGATGTGTCTGTCAAGAGGGAACCAGCTGGGTGCTTGAACCTCTATCACAGTCCGATTTTGCCAAGAGAGAAGTTGTAGGGCCTGACTGCAGAGTTCCTGACCAGCAGCCTGGCACGACCCTCTGTGCGGCCCCACGTCACGTCTGTGAGGTTGTAAACCTTCTGCACTTTACTTCTTTCTCAGGTGAACAGTGAGGGCTTCTTCGCCGTGGAGGATGGCGATGTGCGGAGCCAGCGTGTGCTGCTGAGTGACGTGAGCACCGAGGCCGCCCGGGCGCTCCTGCATTACCTGTATGCCGCGGACCCCGGCGTGCCTCCCCGGCTGGCCCCCGGCCTGGGCGCTCTGGCCCACAGGTCTGACGGCTCTTTCCATGGACCTCCTAGCATGTGACATTAACGACGAGCACGAGCAGGTTGACGGCTCGCAGAGGGCTCAGGGCTGAGTCCTTCCTGTACCTGTTAACCCCGGGTTTATGCTCAGTGGTGACCTTGCCCGGGACGTAGTGACTGGCAGTCTGGCCAGAATGGACACTGGCAGGAGAGCCCAGTGCTGGCTGAGGATGGCCTCTGCCAGGTCACGTGGCTCTTAGCTCCCTGGGTGTGATGAGGGGGTGGTCCTTAGCCTCAGCTGCCCCCAGGTGCTGCCACTCCTTGGTCGTTCGGCCACAGAAGCTGAATGGTGGCTGTTCTTTCCCAGGTCCCAGGAAATAGGAGTGTCAACAGGAGTGTAATGCCTAGTGTAACTCCCGTGGGTTTGCACGCACATTCTATCTCCTGACAGGGCTGAGGGCCCCTTGGATAAAACCGTGTTCGCCCAAGGCCCTGTCATCCCTCAGGTGCACTTCTGGGAAGGGATCAGCTCGGCCTCTGGGGTCCTGAGTGTAGCCTTCAGACCAGGGAGCCTTCACGGAGGCGGCAGGCTGATGTACCCCTCGGCCCGGGCTGACTGGGACAGGTTTGGTCTTTGGGGTTTGCTTCAGATGCCTCTCAGGGCAGCATGCTCTCCAGCTTTGCAGCATCACCGATTCCTGTCACCTTCAGCTCAGCCCGACACACCCCTTTGTGTTTGGGCAGTAGAGTTAGTGAACCCTGCCCTAAAGGTCCACGAGTCTGTCCTCGAGCTCAGCAGCCTGGGTGTTGCTGGTTGGGAGCACGGGCACCGTGCCTGCAAGAGAGCAGGGGAAGGGCCAGGACCGAGCACGGTTGTCCTCCCTGCCAGGACTTGCGCCCCAATCCTCGCCTGCGCTGGGGCGTCTGGCTACCGCCTCTGCAGGGCAGTGATGCATGGCATTTCCTGTTGCAGGTTTGGTGTTAGTGAGCTTGTTCTTCTGTGTGAACAAGCCCCTGACGTGAGCGATTCAGAGGACAGACCGTGGAAGGAGAAGGAAGACGAGGATTGTGAAAGCCGCGCGGAGAACTTCCAAGAACTCTTGAGGTCTATGTGGATAGATGAAGAGGAAGAAGCGGAGGCTTTGTTGAAATCTGAGCGCTATGAAGAAGACAGAGAAAAAGTGAATGAAGCAGAAATGGAAGAAATTTATGAATTTGCAGCCACTCAGCGAAAGCTGCTCCGGGGGGAAGGAGCTCCAGAGATCAAGGAAGAAACTGACCAGTTCGGGGACGACGGTCCCGCATCTGCGCAAATCTTAGCGAGTGGCCAGGTTAGCCAACAGCCAGAAAATGCAGAACAGATGGAACCGTCTGGTGAGGGAAGAGAAGAGGCCCCAGCCACATGGAAAAGCATGAGACAGTCCACGCCCCTGCCACTCAAGGGCCAGTGTGCGGACGAGGAGAAAGCAGGGTCCCCAGAGGAAGCACTGGGTCGTTCCAGATCCCCTCGCCCTTCTGGGGGCTGCAAGGCAGGGAGAAAGGAAGGCGTGTTTTTGTGCTCAGCAGATGCTCCTGAGGCCCGGCCATTTTCATCAACTCCCAGAAAATGCTGCGGACTGTCCCAGATAATGAGCCATCTCCGGGAAGGCAACGGCACCGTCTTGGGAAAGAGGGCGGGGAGCCCCTCTCCCCCTGCTCACTGGCAGACAGCCCTGTGGCGCCCGTGCCTGTCACAGCCCCCTGGGGGCCGGAGTCCCGGCCGGCCACACCCTCGTCCTCATCTTTGGAGTGAGTCGCCCTCACCAGAGCCCCAGCCGCAGGGCAGAGCTTCCAGGGGGGCCGCCCAGGACTCCCCAGCAAAGCAGAGGAGGGGCAGGAGCCTCCTCACGTTACTTAAAGATCCAGGCCTCCAGAAGGGTAAAGAACGTGGTTCCTCATTGGAATGCAGAAATAAAGGGGTTCTAGTCTCCCCAGAAAAGTCTCCATCCATCGACCTAACCCAGTCAAAACCTGGACATTTGAGCTCCAGATCTCAGAATACTCCATCCAGCAAGAACAGAGAAGATGAGATTATCCTTTTATTGGATTCAGATGAAGAGCTAGAGCTAGAACAAACCCAAATAAAGTCCATTTTCAATGGTCCCCTGGAAGAAAGGAAAGTTCTAGAAGTTAGCCCCAAGTCTTCTGAGCTGTTTTCTGTTATCGACGTCGATGCAGATCAAGAACCTTTCCAAAGCCCAGCAAGAAGAGAGGCTTCCCTGCAGGGCGGGGAGGAGGGGCCGGCAGGGAACCGGGGCTGTGTGGGGGGCAGAGGGACCCCTCGGCTGTCGTGTGACCCCGAGAGCGGCCCCGAGGAGGACAGCACCACGGATACCTCATGGCTCGTGCCTGCCACGCCACTGGCCAGCGGAAGCCGGGACTCTTCCTCACAGACACAGATAACAGGCCTCAGGTCCAGGGCTTCGGTGGATCACATGGCTCAGGTCAAGCCCTGGGCCCCGTTAGAAAACAGGGGTGGCCCCGAAACCGCAAGTAAGTTTCCAGTCATCACGCCCCAGATGTCGTCGCCATGCCTGGTCCCCGTCCGTGCAGGCAGCCCTGACGGCAGGAGCCCTTCCAGGCCCCACCCCGGGCGCCCCCAGCACTGCTCTCTGGCTCCCTGTCCCATCTCTGGCGGCCTCACTGATCTCAGCGGGCAGCCCCAGAAGTGCTCACCCCCCGGGCCGAGCCTGCTGAGCCAGGCCATCGCCAGTGAGGTGGTGGAGGTGGAAGACAGCGAAGATGAGCAGGAGGCGGCCTCCCGTCGGGCGAGCAGCAGCCCCCTGCTGGACGGCGACCCTCCGATCCCCCTGGACGGTTGCCACTGGCACGTGGAGCCCCTCTCACCGATTCCCATTGACCGCCTGAACCTCGAGCGGACCGGCCCCCTGAGCACCAGCGGTCCGGGCAGTAGGGCCAGGGAGGCCCCAGACTGCCGCAGCTGCTGCTCCCCCCGCCTCCCGGGCACCGCCCCCGCCCCAGGAAGCCGCGCCGGCCACACAGAGTCTCAAGAGAAGGCCCATCAGGCCGGCTCGCCTGGGAGCAGCAGGCCAAGCTTTTTGAACTCCGCTCTGTGGGACGATTGGGATGGAGAGGAGCAGAAGTCACCAGAGCTCCTTCCTCCGGCCCAGGGGCTGAGTGCTGATGTCGCCGCTCTGAACTCAGAAGGGCTGGAGACGCCAAGTGAGTAGCGGGAGGGTAGCTGTTACGCTGCTTTACGCTAAGGGGCTGGAGGGGGCAGTAGAGACAGCGCGGGGTGGTGGGGCTGCAGGGCCTGCTGGGCTGCGGCGAGCCTCCTCCCCACCCTCCCCTGCGGAGGGAGAACGGGCTTGCCCTTAGACGTGCTGCTTAGCCAATTCCTCAACCTGCCTGGGTCCCATGGCTCGCCTGGGCCCCTGTTAAAAACCCCCATCTGTGGACCCCACTCGAGAATCCTGAACCAGTGCTTCTGAAGGGCCAAGGCAAGCACCTCAGGTGCACTTAAAATCGGGCAAGCATGGTTCCTCACAGTTACACAGAGCGTTGCCATGAGGACCCAGCTGCTCCCCTCCTGTGAGCGCTCCCAGAATAACAGAGATCAGGACGGACAGATTTCACAGCAGCCGTACTCACGGTAGCCCAAAGGGGGAGACAACCCAGATGTCTGTCAGCTGATGAGTGGACCAATAAAACGTGGTCCATTCGTACAGTGTAGTATAATCTGCCATAGAAAGGCATGAAGCACTGACCTCTGTCACCTCGTGGATGAACCTCAAAAACATGGCGCTCAGTGAGAGACGTCAGTCACAGAAGACCACGCAGCATGCAAGTGCATTTATCTGAAATGTCCAGAGTGAGCAAATATGTGGAGACAGAAAGTAGACGAGCAGTTGCCAGGACGGGGGGCAGGGGAGAACGGGGAGTATGCTGGGTACAGAACCTCCTTTGGGGGTGATGAAAATGCTTTGGAACTAGAGGTAGTGGTTGCAGTGAATTAGGACACTGAATGTACTAAGTGCCTCTGAATTGTTTGCTTTAAAACAACAGCAGATGGGGTGAGGGTGGGGTGTTGGCTGTGAGTCTCGGTCCTCCCTCATCTACCCCCCAAGCCCATGGAAGGGTGCAGTTTCCCAGCTCCTGTCAGTCATAAAGGAGAATCAGGGTCTCGAGGGTCAGCCCCTTGAGGTGCTGCTGCCCATACCCGCTCCCCTGCCAGGCAGATGCTGGGAGAGCCAGGAAGGGGCAGGGTTGTGCAAAGCAGCGGCTGGTCGCAGGGAAGCAGCCTGTGGGCAGAGGATCTGCATGCGACCTGGTGTTGCATTTCCTCCTAAAATCCAAGACCAGCTGGGCATGACTGACCGGCTCTCAGCCTTGAGTGGGGATCAGAACTGCCTGGAGAGCTTCCGCATACGTGGCCAGGCCCCACCCCAGAGCGGAGACCAAGAATTTGCATTTCTAACCCGTTCCCAGGTGGTGCTGTGAGAACCAGACTTCAGACCAGGGACCTTAGTCTGAAACTTGAGGTGGACTTCCAGGAGGTGACAACTTTTCTCAAATTATATAAAGAATTTTGTGCTTTTTTTAGGAGATAGCCTATTTTCACTGGAGTCTCAAAGGGCTCCATGCTCATAAAAAGGATAAGAACCAAAGTCCATATATTCCTGAGTTGTTCCATTTGTCTTTAAAATACTGATTTCTTTTTTAAAGTAACAGCTTTATTGAGCTGTTACTCACATACCATAAAGTTCACCCTTTAAAATACACAATTCAGTGGTTTTTAGTACATGAACAGCGGGGCCGGGGTGGGGGGCAGGGGTTGCGATCCAGGCTTCCAGTTATGGAATGAGTAAGTCACAGCAGGGAATACGGACAGTGGTATCATAGCACGGGGTGACAGATGGTAGCCACAAAACAAAAGCCCGACCACACAGTTCAGTGGTTTTTCCTACGTGAACGGTATTCGGCAGCCATCACCGCTAGTCCCAGAACATTTTCACTGCACCCATTGGCAGTCACTCTGGTGCCCCTTCCCCCCGGCCCCTGGCAGCCACGAATCTGCTTTCTGCCCTATTCCCACAGCTTCGGCACCACACGGGGCCGTGGCCCTGGCCACGTGTGTGTGATGCTTTCCAATGGGAAGACCGTTCTCACGTTCAGCGGTGAAAGGTGGAGCAGAATGGTGGATGGGCTTTCTTCAAACGCCCTATTTCTCTTGGTGCTATTGCTGAGCTCAGAAGAGGTCAATCCAGGGGCCCCTGGGTGTCTCAGTCGTTAAGCGTCTGCCTTTGGCTCAGGTCGTGATCCCAGGGTCCTGGGATCGAGCTCCACATCGGGCTCCCTGCTGAGCAGGAAGCCTGCTTCTCCCTCTCCCACTCCCCCTGCTTGTGTTCCCTCTCTCGCTGTGTCTCTGTCAAATAAATAAAATCTTAAAAAAAAAAAAGAAGTCAGTCCAGATCCTTGTGCTGAAACGTTTCTTTTGTTCTACCTAGAAGGTGCTAATCGGAAGAACTTGCCCCCGAAAGTGCCCATAACACCCATGCCAAGGTATTCCATCATGGAGACTCCAGTACTGAAGAAAGAACTGGAGAGGTGGGTGGTGTTCTTGAAAACTTGCTCAGGGGTGGTCCACTGCCCGCTATGCAGGTCCAGGCTTAGTGGGGCTGGGAGCTGAAGGACCGGCCGTGGGGCTCTGGTAACAGGAGCCGCTGGATGACGGGAGCATGTGTGACAGCTCTTCCCCAAACTACCAGGTTCCCTGAGAAGCTAAGAGATGAAACTCCAGGCACCCATCAGTTGATAGATCTCCATGTGCCCAGTGGATGGAGATGGGCCCTTGCCTTAATAGTCTGAATAAGGAGACCTGATTTTTTTAAAAGAACATCAAAAAAACTGTCACATCCCAATCAGTGCTGCTCTTCACCTTGGGCCCTGGAGGTGTTATCACTACCACCATCGCCAAACCTGGGAATGGCCCTTCTGGAGTATTCTTCAGAGTAAGCTCAGTTGGTATGCAGAAAAACACCTCTGAATGTTCACAGAAGTCAGGCATGTAAGATTTCATTTACACAAAGCCATTAATTTGCTGATAACTCTTTGCTGTGTGCTGAAGTTCACCTGTTTCCCCATTCAGGTTTGGCGTCCGCCCTCTACCCAAACGCCAGATGGTCCTAAAACTGAAGGAGATATTCCAGTACACTCACCAGACTCTGGAGTCCGACTCGGAGAATGAGAGCCAGACCTCACAGGTGCTCCTGGAGGCTCCTCACAGCCAGACCCACGCCGGCAGGACCTCCAAGGCTCCCAGGGCCGTTGGCCATGCCTGGCTGGAGGCCACTTCTGGCCCTCTTCCTCAAAGGTCCAAGGAGTCCACTAAGACCAAGGGTCCCCGACAGCAAAAGCAACAGCCTGGTGGAAGCATCCCTCCAATGAGCATGTCACAGGCCAATGAGGAGCCTCCAGACCCTGATGGGGATGCCCAGCTCCCAGCATCGCAGGAATCGGTGGCCTCCTCTGGGGACAGCAGTGACAGCTCCTTTAGCTCACAAAGGTAACGGGATGGGAGGACAGGGCCAGTGGCTTCATAGGTCCTCTGACCCCGGGTCCATGAGTTGGCATAAGCCGGGCCTAATGCTGAGGTTGAGAAATCCCGTTGCCTTCTGGATTTGAACTGTGGGAAACGCAGTTGGGGCAAAGGACAGTCCCCTGTGAGCCTCCTGAGCAGACCCTTGGAGCTCCCATGTCCTCGCCACACAGGATGCTCTCATGAGGGGGCTGGCAGCTGGGGTGCCAGGAGCACGGCAGCCTGGAGCTTCCCGCCTCCCGGGGAGGCCATCCAAGCCTGTGTCGGGCTCCGCAGGGGACACAGACACTCCTTCCATCAAAGGGGCTCCTGGTCTCGAGTGCTGGAGAGAAGGAGCGTCACAAAATGTTTGGGTCTGGTTCTTTTCAGTTCTTCCTGTGAGTTTGGAGCGGCCTTTGAGTCTGCAGAGGATGAGGAGGGTGAAGAGGAGCTAAGCGCGTCCCAGGCGGCAGTGCACACGGCAGCCACGGAGGAGGCCGTGAGGCGCTACATCCGCTCCAGGCCGGCCCTCTACCGCAAGGTCCTGCTGTACCAGCCCTTCGAGCTGGCAGAGCTGCAGGCCGGGCTGAAGCAGCACGGCATCCGCGTGGCCACGGCGAAGCTGCTGGACTTCCTGGATGCCCACTGCATCACCTTCACCACCGCCGCGGCCCGGAAGGAGAAGCTCCACCAGAAGAGACGGCAGCCTGTGGGCAAGAAGCGGGGCCGAGCCACCAGGCCTGTCCGCCCCTCCCCACCCTTGGCCGTCAGCAGCCTGTGAGGGTCCGCAGCCCCCGGCAGCGAGCCAGGCCTCCATGGGCGTTTCTGGGCCTGGGGCCCGAATCCAGCCACCATGAGAGGGGCCGGCCACAGCACCGAGCTGGGTCAGCTGTCCCCAACTCCATTTCCTGGAGTAGTGTTCGGAGTGCGGCACCCCCGGGATGTAGGGCCCGGCCCCTCCCTCTGTCGGTGCCCACAGTTTGTCTCCCTTTAACCCCGCCATGCCCCCGGGTGCTTCACAAGGGCCCCGGGCAGCCACCAGCTGGCCAGGGCGGGGTCTGTCAGGCACATGTCCTCGCCAGCTTGCCCCTGCCCCGACTTCCGTCTCAGCCCTTGGACTGTAATCCCAGCCTCACCAGCACACCAGGTGTCCATGAGCTTCTCACACTGCCATGCCTCAGGTGCTCTGCTGGCCCAGCCATCCTGCCCAGACACCTGTCCTTGTCACCAGCAATTTCCAAACTGGGCAGTGCAGGAGGGCCCACACAGAATTCGCATGTTCTTCGTTAACCAGCTTTGTTGGTGTGGTAAGGTTGTCTTCAGCCTCAGGAGCAGTGTGGAGCACAGGTGACAGCCAGAAAGGAAAAAAAGCTGGGGTCTCTACATCCTTGTGAATGTCTCGTCTGTTTTAAATACAGTCCATTTTCTATGATGTGCAATAAAAACAAAAAGGCTTTATAAAAATCTTCCAGATGATACACTGCAGAAAGGTAAGGAGGGAAGCTGGCTGGGAGCTTCACCCACAGCTCCCTCGCTGCCCCCATAGCCGTGTCTGCAGAAGGCCTTTGTGCCTGTCCTTCATTGCAAAGGGTGACCCAGGCCTGCTGGCTCCTCATGTCCCTTTGGTTCATAGATAAGAGATGTGTGTTCATCCATTCATCCATATTTGTGAATCTGTAGCCCCACATTAAGACAGCCCCTACCAAGCACTGAGCTCCAGCCCTTGATGAGGCCTGGGGCCCAGCAGCGTGACCCTGGGGATTGTTACAGATACGGCTTGGGCCTGCCCAGACCTACTGAGTCAGAATTTGCATTTTAACAGGATGAACTTGTGAAGCCCTCTCTGTCCTGTGTGCTGGGCCCCATGGAGAAAGGTCAGAAATCAGCTGGTGCTTCTAGTCTTCAGCCAGACTGGCCTGTCCCTGTGCCGGATGTGAGGGTTGGTGCTCAGATGGCCTCAAGGGACAGCCTCCTGCAAGAGGGGGACTGTAAGCTGGGCCTCAGGTGCGCACAGCATCCAGGGAGGTGAAATAGGGTTTTTTGAACACATGCTGTGGGTCCTGGTCTGTGACCAGGTGGAGAGGGCCGGGCCCTGCCTGTGCACACTGTCCAGGGACGGGTTAGAGGGAACAGTGGGATGCCAGGGCTCAGATCTCACAGCTAACAGCACAGGAGACTGAAGATGGAGTCTGGCCTGTGTTTCTTATACCAAGGACTTGCTCTCCTACCCTAGTATGGACTTTCAGGGATGTGAGGTGGGGTTTGGGAGGTGGGAGGCCACTCGGAGCCCTTACCTGGCTTCACTGGCTCCTTGTGGAGACCCTGGACTCAGACGAGCAGCTCTGGGTATACTGGGAGCCCTTGGTCCTTGGAAGGCAGCCCAGACTAGCAGAAGGTTACCACCTGCAGGTTGATAAGATGTTGGGGGAGGGGTTGAAACAGGTAAAAGCCGCAGGCCAGGGGAAGGTGGGGGGGAAATCGAGGCCTGGTGGCTGAGGTCCTTGGCCAGGTCAGGTCCGGGCAGCGTGCCCCCAGGGGCCAGCAGTGGGCCTGGCCAGGGCCCGAGCCCATATGCAAGGCAGGCAAAGGGGTTAAAAACCGGCACTGCAGTGAAGATGGTCCTACAACCAGAGAACTGGCAGTGTCCTTGACCTTTCCACAGTAGCCAGACCTACTGAACTGGGCAACTGGAAAATTAGGTCCATCTTGCTAGTTGAGAAGGAAAATGGTGAGCTGCCCCATCCCAGCACCTGTGGTGAGGCTGGAGGACCAGGGCCCGCAGTGGACCTAATGCTGCACAGCGGGCAGACGCTCCTTTCCAGAAGCTCTGCCTAGCCTTGTGAGGGGTCCTTAGCACAGGAAGAGAGCATGCTGAGCCCCGGAGCAGTGGAAAGCCATGCGGCGCCCAGGTTTTGCTGTGCTGAGACCTCCCAGGCCTGTCCCCTTCCTGTGGCCGGCCCGGCCATGGTCACTCAGGCAACCACAGGAGAGCCACAGCCCAGCTCAAGCAGGGCCCAGGCAACCCCCAGGGAGGCCCCCGCCCTTGAAGGCAGGAAGCCTCAAGCTGTCTCTTGAGTTGGGAAGAGCCGAGGCCACTGCCTGTCTGGCTGTCACGGGTCTGGGTGGATAGAGAGCCCCAGAGTGAGAACAACCGTGGGAGACCGTGCCCCAAACATACAAACACCCAGGAGAGTCAGGAGGAGGGCCCCCCGGCGGGAGCCCAGGGACCAGCCCTGTCTGGCCATGGGCCATCTGTGTGAGGTGGAGGCCAAAGTTGCAGAGGAGAGTGCCCCGAGACCCCCATGGAGGAGGCTGCTTCCTCCTGTGCTCAGGATCCCCCCTCCCTGAGCTGTGGAGGGGGGAGCAGAGTGGGCCTCTTGGCCTCTTTCATGTGACGGATACGCACCAGGCCCCTGCGGCTTCCAACATCCTGTGGGCGGCCTGGTTTCAGACGCCTTCAGTGCACCTCACAGTCGTGGCTACAGTGTGCTTTGACGGCCTGCAGCCGCAGCAGGCTTCTCAAGGGCAAGCCCCATGCGTCTCACCTGGAACCTGGCAAGCTGCTGGGGCCTCGGAAGGCACTGCTGGAAGGGTGGCAGGGAGGGGGGCACAGAAGGGTGTCATTGCACAGAGTGCTTCTAATCTGCCACCTCAGCCCCTCTGCCCCCATTCCTTTGCACACAGCTCCGGAGAACAGGCTGATAGAAGCACACAGCCCCTCCCACCGCCCTTTATTCATAAGCTGCCACATCATCTGAACCCACTACCCTCCTGCTCTATAACCATCAATGGCTCCCAGTTGACTTTTTTAGGAAAAGTGAGGCACCCATCCCTTGGCTCCCACCTTGTCTCCATGGCTTGCTCCCTGTCACTGGAGGATGTCCTGTACTTTTCCTCTATTGTCGTGCTTCTCCTGTCGTCCACTTTGGGCATGCCCTTCCCCTTCACCCCTTTGCTCTCAGTGCCGCCCACATGCTGAGGCCCACCTCCGGGGCCTGAGGGAACTGCCACACTCCGCTGTTCCAGGGTGCAGCCGGCCTGCCTCTGGGAAGACACTGTGGGGTACAGCTGGGTCGCAGGTGCCTGCTGGGTGCTAGAGAGAGCAAAGCACGGGGGATTAGACAGGATGACGAGGGCCTCGGCCACAGCAGAGCATGCCAGCCTGGAAGTGAGAGGACTCTGCTCCACAGTGGCCAGCTTCCTGCTGTGTGGCCTTGGGCAAGTCACTGAACGTCCCTGCAGGTAGTCTAGTTTCCCTAGAGCCCCCCAAAAGCAAAGGTCTGCAGGTGGTGAGACTGTCTTCCTCTGTGGCCTTGGCTGAACCCCTCTCCTGAGCATGACGTCTACAGGGGTCCTCAAATCCAGATCCTGGCGGAACCGCCTGCCTCTCTGACTTACGGGGCGGTGACAGAGCCAATCTGGCAGCCGCGGCTCATTGATTTGTCTGAGAGGCTGTTGGCTTTTGAAATCAGACAGGAAGGAGGGTTGAGGTGGAGCCCGGCACAGGAAGAGGTGAGGAGCCCCAGCTGCCATGACAGCTGGTGGGCTTGGGGGACTGCAGGAGCCGGCGGACTGCAACCCCACCGCCCTGCACGGTCAGCACCTCCCCATTCCTTCCCACAGGACCTTGCTCCTGCCTTGCACAGATCCTGAGGGCTCGGGACTCAGCTGACTGGCCACAGAGAATCCCAGGACATCCCCACCACCACGCAGCTGCTTCTGTCCACTGGAGCAGGGCTGAGCCTGGGAGCACCGGGATGGAGCATCCCCAGCCCCCCAGTCTCGGCATCCCTAGGAGCACGAGGCCCGGGAGGTAAGTCAAGCCCAGGCTGCCTCAGCACAGGATGGGGGAGGAAGAAGAGACTGCTGGCAGGAAGGACCATGACTTTTAAGGCCTGAGCCTCTCTAGGGTGCAGTGGCTGGGTGGCACTGAGGTGTCCCCATGGGTGCTGGGAGCTGCTTGAGCAGTACTAGTTCACTGTGTGGAATAAACATGTGCCCAAGGACAGCCCATGATGGGCCGAGGGGACAAAGCCCAGCTCCCCAGGTACCAATGATGGGCTAGGAGGAGCAGGAAGTCACCAGAAAGTGCGGCAGGCAGGCAGAAGGGAGGTTGAGCCGGGCAGCCCAGGGCTGAAACCTGGAATCTGCAGACCCGGGCTCCATTCTCGGCACCCCATTTCCACCTGTAAGATGGGGGGACAGTACCAGACCTGCCCCAGGGTCCTGAGGGGCCAAGGGTAGACGGTGCAGGAAGGCTGGGGTCCAGCACAAACACCACCCTCGTGTTGGGTGAGCAGCCCTGAAGGGTCTCTTCCAGCCACACCTTCGGATGGAGATGAGGCTCATCATTCTGACAGAGATGGTAACCACAGAAGAGGCCTTCTCAGCAGAGGTGCCACTGAGGTGGGCCAGGGGTGGCTGCTGGCTGTGGGGTCCTCCCCATGGCCAGGCTCCTGGGCTCCCAGGGCTCCTCTGGGTCTCCTCAATGGGGGCAAGGCTTTCCCTGAGCTAGGGTCTCACTCTTGGCCATCAGAGGCCACCCTATGGCTGGCTCCCAGGTGGGGGCGCAGGCTAGCTGCCCTCCTCTGTCCCAGGGGCGGTGCAGTGGCAGGAGGCTGTGTCCTGCGGCAAAGGCACCACTGCCTCCCACCTCTGCGAAAGGCTGTTTGATTTCAAGTGGTCTGTAGCCATGGTGCTGGGCTACCTCAAGGGGGCTGAGGACTGCGCTCTTGGGCCTTGGGAGGCAGGGTGGGGGCAAGGAGTTGGGAGAGAGGAGCACCCAAGAGGCCGTGGCCTGAGGGAAGGGCAGCCCAGGCAGGAGGTCAGCACTGCAGGGCCCTTGCAGCCGCGGCGCGCAGGCGGGCAGGGAGAGGCTAGCTGTCGTGCACGGGCCACAGATGGCCAGGACTCGGGCCCCGGGTGAGGGGAGCGCAGGACAAGACAGGACCTGCTGGCAGAGACGATGAGTCAGTCGGGACCTGTGTCTTCTCAGGGATGAGACAGAAGCTCAGCTGTCGAACTTGAGTGACAGCAACACCAGGGAGTACAGGTCCTCTGCTGCGTCCCACCCAATGGATGAGGCTCTGGAGGACGCGTGGGCAAGGGGAAGCCAGGCTCCTGGGGAGGGGCGTCTGTCTGGCCTGGCCCTGCCCACAACAGCGCAGACCTTCTCATACTGACCGACTTCTGGCCTTCAGATCCCCCAAGGCAGCCCAAGGCCCCCCCGCCCCCCATCTTCCCCCCCTTGAGGCTGGCGGGGCCTCCTCCCACTCTCCCTAGAGGTTGTCTACACTGGACAGGACCTGACTGTCCCTGGTGGACGTGTGGCCACCAGATCACACTCCACTCAGAGGTCTGGGGCGAGTTCCACCCTGCAGGGCAGAATCTGGGCTGCACACAAGCCCTGTTCACATGAGCAGCCAGGTAGCTGTCCCATGGGGGGAGCTCTTTTGTCAGCCTCCGATATTGGCCCTGGGTTTTAAAGTATAAGTATATCCCATGTAATACTTGGGATATACTTATACTGAAAGAACCACTGTTGATCTGAAATACAAATTTTACTGGGTGTCCTGTATCTTAATTTGCTAAATCTGGACCTCTAGCCCTGAGGTCAGCAGGGCAGCAAAGATGGGTGTCTGATGCAGAGGAAGCACTGGTTTCCAGCATGGAGAGGCTCACCCCTCCCACCTTCCCATAGAGACTCAGTCCGATCTCCTCTCCCCTCACTCTTGTGTGCTGTTGTCCCTCCTCTGTCACTTGCCCAGCCTCTCTGGTCTAACGGTTCTCAATTCTGGCTGCTCCTTACAATACCCGGGTGGCTTTAAACTACACCCATGTTGAGGCCCTACCTCACACCAAATACATCTCTAGGTGGTTGCGCTAAGCAGAGGCATTTTAAAAACAGTGCTCCATAGAAGGACAGTATGTCAGCAATTCCACCTCTGAGTACATATACCCCAAAGAACTGAAAGCAGGGATGTGAACAGGTATTTGCACACCCGTGTCCACAGCAACATTTGTTCACAAGAGAAAAAAGGTGGAAACCACCCAAATGTCCACTGAAGGATGAATGGATAAACAAAATGTGGTCTATCCATAAAATGGAATATTATTTAGTCTTAAAAAGGAATGAAATGTTTATATAAGTTATATAAACTTATATAATGTTTATATAAGTTAAAACAAGGATGAACCTGGAAAATACCATGCTCAGTGAAAGAAGCCAGACACAATCAGATACTATATGATTTCACTTATATGAGGTCCCTAGAGTAGTCAGATTCATAGCAACAAAAAGTAGAAGGGTGGGTGCCCGGGCCTGGGAGGAGGGAAACAGGAAGTTAGTGCTTAGTAGGGGCAGAGTTCCTGCTTGGGGGATGAAAAAGTCTAGAGGTAGTTGGTGGTGGTGGTCTCACAGCATTGTAAATGTACTCAGTGCCACTAAATTGTACACTTAAAAAATGGTTACAATGGCAATTTTTATGCTGTACATATTTTAATAAAAAATTAAATTAAAAAATAGTGCTCTAGACACTGTCCTGCCAGAGTAGAGAGGCTCTGAGCCTGGCCCTTCTTCACCATGGTCCCCTCATACTCCTGGCCACCACCCCACCCCCAGCAGCAGCAGTCTGTCACCCGTGGGGGCCTCTGGAGTCCAGCCCTGGGCCGTGCCCTGACATCACCCATGCCAACAGCCAGACAGAGGCCCTAGCATCCTGGCCTCATGCACTAAGAGGCCGCAGTAATATTGCTTCCTTTGGGTTTAGGCACATTTACATTTGTAGATAGCTGCTAGCATAACTGTTTTTATTTTTATTATTTTTTAAAGATTTATTTATTGGGGCGCCTGGGTGGCTCAGTTGGTTAAGCGACTGCCTTCGGCTCAGGTGATGATCTGGAGTCCCAGGATCGAGTCCCGCATCGGGCTCCCTGCTCGGCAGGGAGTCTGCTTCTCCCTCTGACCCTCCCCCCTCTCATGTGCTCTCTCTCTCTCAAATAAAAAAATAAAAAGAAAAAAAGAAAAAAAAAGATTTATTTATTTATGTATTTATTTGACAGAGAGAGAGAGAGTGCACTAGCAGGGGGAGAAGGGCAGAGGGAGAAGGAGCAGCAGACTCCCCGCTGAGCAGGGAGCCCGATGCTCCCTGATCCCAGGACCCTGGGATCATGACCTGAGCTGAAGGCAGACGCTTAACCGACTGAGCCACCCAGGTGCCCCATGACCATTTTTAAACTGACCTATAACTTACAGATAGTAAAGTGAACTCAGTGGAGTTTTACATATGTATACATCTGTGTGTCCGTACCAATCAATGATCATACTGATCATCCAGATCAATGTGTAGAGGTTTCCAGTGCCCCAGAACTCCCACAGGCCCCTGCCCAGTTGGAACCGCCCCCAAGGGCAGCCACTGTTTTGACTCCAATCGCCTCATTGGTTGGGCCTGACATTAAACTCCCCGTAAGTGGAATCACAGAGTATGTTCTCGTTTCTCTCCACATGTCTGCGAGAGTCAGCCACACTGCTGAGTGTGTCAGTGGTTTATTTTTTGTCATTAGTATGCAGGACTTGATTGTATGAATGTACCAAAAAAAAAAAAAAAGGAATCCCATTCCATTGTTGATGGATATTGGTTGTTTCCACTTTTTTGGACACCATGAGTAAAGCTGCTAGAATATTCTGATACACTGTTTTGATGGATATAAACACTTGTTTCTGTTGGGTATATACCCAGGCAGAGAATGGCTGGATCACAAAAATAGGCATATTTAGTCTTATCACTACCAAACATTTTTCCAAAGTGATTTTAATTTGCATTTCTCTGATAAGTAAGGGTACTATATATATATTTTAATTATATATATTTTTTACTATTTTTAAAAATTTTCTTTTTAAGAGGGCGGAAGGGCAGAGGGAGAGAGAGAGAGAATCTTAAGCAGGCTACATGCCCAGCAGAAAGGCTGACACAGGGCTCGATCTCATGACCCTGAGATCATGACCTGAGCTGAAATCACGAGTCTGATGCTTAACCACCTGAGCCACCCAGGCAGACCTCTGATGACTAAGGATATTATCTTTTGTGACATATC